CGCTGCAGAGAAACTTTTGTGAAAGAAAGACTGGATTGAGCAAACGTCATTGTTGTCTTATGTTACAAAATTGACATAACCACCGCAATCTTTAGCAGCCACGAACCTGATCATTCTGCAACCACCTAGATGGAGGCTAGACCCTCCACCAGCAAAATGACTATGACTTGTTAAAGTCTCAGGTGAAAAAGGTCTTTTTAATTAGGGTACATATATTTTTAAACATGCTATCGTATAGATGATAGACTTAGTATAGTGTAAACATACCTTTTATATGCACTGGGAAACCAAAATATTCATGTGACATATTTAATTGTGATATTTGCTTTATTGCTGTTGTCCAAAATGAAACCTGCAATGTCTGTGAGGTATGCCTATATCTACAAAAGCTGTAATGAAGATGCTTACAATCTGGTTGGAAAATATAACTAATACTTCGCAAATCCCAACAAAGTACATAATTACATGCCAAATTATATAGTATAGACTAGTATAATAGAAGTTTTGACTAAAACCTGTGAGCAAATTTTTACATGATAAAAATGCTATGCAACATAATAAAAGAAGGTATGTACTTAAAATCACTTTGGCAATTGTGAAAATGAGTTTTAAGTATATTCTGTTAATAATTAACTTGAAAGTAAACTACCAAAAGTTGTTCATATAAGGACAACTAGAATGTTAGCTATGCTTTCCAGAATATTTGAGGAAAAAAAAATTGACGATTTGATTTAGATCTGCCTTTGCTAACAAAATACAAGCATAAAAATAGATTCATAGTCATCCAATAAGAGAACATAATTAAGTGCCCAGAAATCATAAAAAGACAATATCTTCCTTTCTTCTTTTTTTTTTTTTTTTTTTTTTTTGGAGACAGAGTCTTTCTCTGTCACCAGACACCAGGCTGGAATGCAGTAGCGCGACCCTGGCTCACCGCAACCTCTGCCTCCCGGGTTCAAGCAATTCTCCTGCCTCAGCCTCCCAAGCAGCTGGGACTACGGGCGCGCGCCACCACGCCCAGCTAATTTTTGTACTTTTTAGTAGAGACGGGATTTCACCATGTTGGCCAGGATGGTCTCGATCTCTTGACCTTGTGATCTGCCCGCCTTGGCCTCCCAAAGTGCTGGGATTACAGTCATGAGCCACCTGGCCAAGTGACAATTTCTATTCAAAGTGCAGGGCATAAGAATCACTGTACATCAGTTCAGCACCTGGTTGTCAGGTGCTGTCTAAACAAAAATGAGCAAGGGAGGGAAAAGTGTCAGTGTTAATCTGGTCAAATTAGGCCATCTTTTTAGTTGACATTAAATTTGCACTTGAAAATTCAGGTTTGACCTACATACCCTAAAATTTACATTTGACCCACACTAATAGAATCTATAACATTACAGTATGTACTTAACAAAGAACATGGTTTTCTCTGTTATATTTTTGTATGATTTAATTTCCATAAATATAGGCCATTTCCCTTGCCATGAAAGGAAAGAATTATTTCTTTTTGATATAAGACAGAGACATTTTCCCCCAATTCTAAATACTTGGTAGTATCCGGTTGTTTGATTAACTGATTTGACTTTATAGACAAGAGGATAAATCTATTTTTAAAGAACTTAGTTTCCCAAGGCATGGGACACCTACACAGCCTAATTTCGTGTAGTAAGTAGATCAGGTATTAAATAGTCCAGCAGGAAAGGTATTCCTTTTCCAGCTTTTTTTTCTGATATTCATATCAAGGATTAAGTTTCAGTATCGTGAAGTATGTTTTCACTGTTTCTCAAATATTAAGTAATGTTCCTTTACAGCAAAGACAACAAACCTCAGGATAAGCAGACAATATCTACTTAGAATTTAATGTTGTCTTTCTTAGACTTGTATTTACTTTTACAATGGTCATCTGTTGATGCCAAATGATTCTATACTGGTTCTCATTTACAGAAATAATAACAACTTTCCTTTGTAAATGAATTTAAATTGAGTTAGTCCATGCAAAGAAAAATATTAGGAAAATAATAGCACATATAGTTCTCAGATACAGGCAAATTTGTACCATGGTAATTTACTAGTAACTAAATTTGGGAAAATAGAGCTAAAATAATTAAAATGTTAAAAATGTTTCTTCATTCATTGATTCATGGTAATTACTGTTAATATTTTCATTTGGATAATATAGGAATTCCTAAGTTTTCTTTTCTATTGGCAGGGAATTGCAACCTATTATTTAATCCAAAGAATTTGCATAAAATAAATTATTGATATGATTTAGTTAGGATTAAAAGATAGAACAAGGGGATTTTAGATACAAGTAATGTGAAATAGTTTCATGGTTACTTGTTCTAGAGGAGTTTGGAGATACGGCTGCTATTACCACAACTAAGAACCTAGAAGTTCATTTTTTAGGAGTGCCACAAGGGCAAGATCATATTATAATTAATGGTTCTAACCCTGTATTCTGCCATAGTACATGGAACATAATGGTCACATACTGGATATATTCCTGAGGGAATGCCCTGATTTTGACAAAATTCTCCCCTTTCTGATATTTTTTCCACAACATTTAGGCAATACAGAGCTGTAGATTTTGGTTATGCATAACTTCCAACATGTTCCTTTCTATCAAAGAAAGCAAAACCAAATAAGTAAACGAAAATACACTAATATAATCAGCTTATTTTAAAAAATAAAAATAAATCATTCACAAATTTAAGTGCTTTACCTATTTTTCGTAACAAATACTTAAGGTATAACTCACTACTGACAGGACCAACAATGTCTCATGACACCTTGGTCCAAACTTCCCACTTTATTGTTGGAATACTGGATTAATGACACCTCTTTATACTTTTAATTAAGACAGAGATACCAAGGTAATGACTGGATTAGAGCATAATTTGCAGATGAGGTAACCTAAGTGAATGACACTGGCACCAGTTGTTTACAGTTTGATAAAACAACCAATCATCCAAATTTAATTGCAACACTTAAGAGGTATGACTTTTATAATTAATGGGAAAAAAAACCTTCATATTAAGGTTGAGAAAAATAAAGGTCCCATTTTCTGACATGTAAAGTAGAATAACTCTCAGTGGGTAATCCAAATGCTCCCTTGTGAATTAATGTGTTTTACAATATTAGTAAAATCTAACCACTCCTTTTATGAATAAAATTTAGCACTCACTGGTAACACTTAAAATGGCCAGGAGTGGTGGCTCACACCTGTAATTTCAGCACTTTGGGAGGCCCAGGCAGGTGAATCACTTGAGGTCAGGAGTTCAAGACCAGCCTGGCCAACATGGCAAAACCCCATCTGTACTAAAAATACAAAACTTAACCAGGCGTGGTGGTGGACACCTGTAATCCCAGCTACTTGGGAGGCTGAAACAGGTGAATCACTTGAACCCAGGAGACGGAGGCTTCAGTAAGCTGAGATTGCACCACTGCACTCAAGCCTGGGTGACATAGCAAGACTCTGTCTCAAAAACAAGTAAATAAATAAATGCTTTAGTGTATTCTGATACAAGTTTTAAAAATATACGAACAGCAGATTTTAAAGAATTAGTATAGCAAACTGCAGGGATAAGAAAGAAATGTATGTAAACTGGGCCATAATGTAAATAGTTTGTTTAAAGGTCCAGAGATCTGATCAGTGTCACTGACATAAAATCAAGTCTGGCATTGAACTAAGTCAACATACTGTTTAGGAAAAAGAATTTCTAACATGGGTTAAAACAGAACTGTTAATTTCTTACATATATATCTGTGTTCCATTCTTGCTGTTATAAAATCAATTAATAACAATTATCTTAATTTCATGATTACATTTTGAACTTAGCTTTGCCAAAATAACAGGAGCAGAGCATGGTCAACATGATAGTTTCAGGCATCTTAATAATAAAACCATCATTTTTGGCATCTATGCTGATGTTGTAATGACCCCAAACTGTCAATAACTCTTCCAAAGCAAATTAATAAATGTGGAGACATGGGCTAATATTACAGTAAATCAGTTTGCCTATATTCACTATACACATTAGCTCTACAAAAGAATGTGAATCAAAAATTAACCAATAGTAAAGTAGAAAGCTATGTTCAATCAAGAGTTGTACACTCACATATATGATTAAAGAATAATCATTAAACTTTTTTCTGAATTGTCTGGGTTTAGCTAGTAATTTTAATGTTACCAATGGACTTTGGTCCTCTTTAACAAAAATTAGAAACTTTAACACATTTTTCCCAAATGCTTATTATAAACTTTTATGTTTAAGGATCTATAATTTTTCAATTATTAGGGAAACAATATTTCCTAACAATGTTTTAATCGTGAGTGGATCACCTGAGGTCAGGAGTTGAAGATCGGCTTGGCCAACATGGTAAAATGCCATCTCTACTAAAAATTCAAAAATTAGCTGGGTATTGCGGCATGTGCCTGTAATCCCAGCTGCATGGGAGGCTGAGGCAGGAGAATCACTTGAACCTGGGAGGTGGAGATTGCAGTGAGCCGAAATTGTGCCACTGCACTCCAGCTTGGGTGGCAGAGCGAGACTCTGTCTCAGAAACAAAAAAGGAACATAAATAACTAAAAAATAATTATTCGTGTCAAAGTAGAGGAGATAGAAAAAAATATGACTCACTCTCTTCACTCTACATGTATCATGTAGGTGTAGAGTTTACAGAAATACCAATGTAAAACATGGTTACTATTTTTTGTTTGTAGGTAAGTACTTGAAGCATCAATAAGTCAACTGCATAACATTCCCACCATGACAGAAATGCGAATTTTGGAAAAAACAGCCCATAATGTCTCAACCAACAAGTGAACACAGAAGGCATTTTGTTACCATCAACTTGGCAGACTAATAATGGTGAACAAACAAAGCCGAATTCTTCTGCTCTTTGTATTAAAATTACCATGCAAGCATTGTTCAGACATTTCAGGCCCAACTATAATTCTGCATTTGTCCATCATATGTTTAAAGTTAATGTGATCTAGTAAGTACTACCATGATCTTTGAGATTTCGAAGAATCACAGCAGGAAGGCTATGGGACTGCCACCCTGTCACTAACTCGGCCTCTAGTTCCTTAATGTGGGCCCTGAGCATGAGGGGTGGCACTTTCAGAAGCAGGTCAAGAGGCAGCAAAGCTGAAGAAATAAAAGGGGGAAAGATATAAAACTGTAACATAAATTACATTGAATTTTAGAGAGTTGAGTTTGATTTTATTGCTACCAACACTAAGTTACCTGGTCTTGCTCTTGATCCTGTTCCTCCAGTGAAGTCCCTGAAAACAGAATTACAGCCCATTAGAATGACTTGTTCAACTTGGATTTGACAAACTAAAAGCCTACATCTTGCCATGGTCTACATTACAAAGATAAATAAAGATTATTTTCCCTCAAGGTGCTCTCAAGAGTTTAATTAAGAGGGAAATAAATATATTGCAACACACAGTACAGTTGACATTCTACTGGCAAACGGCAGAACCATCCCACCACAGTTGTTTTGCAGGCTCTAAGTATGACTAAAGGCCTAAATCTTAGGATCCTGAATAATTTTCTTGTTACATTTAAACTCAAATACAGATTTTGCTTTATAAAGATAAAAGATTTTAAATGTCATACACAGTATTTTCTATGAATTTTTCCTGCTTTATTAAAAAAACAAAACAACAAAAAACTCCTATACCTCTTCCTATAAAATGTAAAATGTTTTTTGCATTGAAAATAATTATTTTTCCTAAAGTGGCCAGTGTTATTAGTATCGCTTATTTGCCTTGCCTCAAAATTCTAGGTTATTTGATTATTTTACAAGTTGATCTCAGTGTCTTCTTCTTTGAGAAGTAGACCCCACCAGGGATATCTGTAAATCACTTTCAGCCTTGCTTTTTCCACTGTAACCTAGAGCCATTTTTTAAAAATAGTTTTCTGGAACGAAATAAGAAACATCTATGCCCTGACAAGTTATAAGAACCATTCTTAAATTTAATGCGATCCAACAAAAACATATCAAGCATCTACTATGTATAGGGCACATGATAGGTATTTCCTAAGTAGGAATAAATACAGGAATTCAAATATAAGTAAACATGACTGATAATTCTCTTGCCCCAACCCTTTCATTTTAATCATAGAATTTTTGATACATGCATGCAACACCTACCTATTAAGCATAACAAAATTAGCACTCATTTACCTACCACCCAACTTAAGCACTAGAATAATACCAAAATCTTTGCCTCCACCTATGAGTTTCTTCCCTATTCCTTACCATTCCCTCTTGACCTTCACCAGGCGAGCACTCTCCTGATCCCATAATATATTGTGTTCCATTCTGAGCACAAGCTTCCAGACCCTTGAAAATTAAATGGAACCTGCCAGACTTTAACAGTTTATATGCTTTCCCTGACCCTAGGATAAGGAGCACGTTTTAAACAAGAAATGAAGCTGATTCTGCCCTCAGAAAGTTTGAAAAGAGGCATGATCACAGCAGTGCCTATGTGTAGGCAAGCAGCCTCAGGGCTGAGCTGAGGAGCAGAGCATCTGTTCCAGCTCCTCGTATGCCTGCACAGATGCCATACCCGAGCAAATGCTTTCCAAATACCTTTGCCCCTTAGCCTTCTAGATGAGGCCAGCACTGTCTAACAGAAATCAATGGTAAGCATCAAACATAACTTTAAGTTTGCTGGTATCCACATTTTTTAAAAAGTAACAAGAATAAAGTGAACTCAATCTATTTTATTTAATAAAAAAAATCCAAAATATTATTTCAACGTATAAAAATTGAGATCTCTTATAATTTTACATTTTAATTAATATTAAATGAAATTAAAAATTTAGTCCCTCAGTTGCACTGGCCACATTTCAGCTGCTCAAGAGTCACATGTGCCTGGTGGCCTCCACGCTTCACAATGTGGTCCAGGCTCTTCCGTAGGTGTTGATTATTGTCTTCATACACATATTATGTTCTCGCCATGTAGCTGCTAAACCTGCAACACGTCCTGAATCCCACTGTCTTAAAAATTGAAGAAAAATGCAACTCGTGGCAAACTTGCATCCATCAGGTTATGCATGTTCTTGAAAAGCTGATAATCACTCACATGCTGAGTTTGCAAGATGACTATTCTGGGTGTCCTGAAAAATCTAACATTTCAAACATTTTTAGGTATTAACAAATGTTATGCATAGTGTGTGCTAGGGGGATATGTGACATAGAACGCCCTGACAATGCTGAGCTGCTGCCGCCTTTGCTGTTGCTTTATAAAATTTTAAATTCCTCTTTCATAAACTTTAGGGAATCTTTAAAAAGAACCATTATACATTCATTCATTCAAGATATATTTATTAAGTGCCCACAATGTATAGCCACCGTGCTAGACACTGGAGATGGGATGGTGAAAATAAGTAGTTTCCACAGTCTTGGAACTTACAAGATTGCATAGAGATAGCAGAAAAAAAAATGTCAATTTATCTGGAAATTATATCACTAACCACAAGCAAATATAGTCATCTGAAATTTCAAAATAGAACAGACTCATTGTGACCAGAAGTGACAGCTTTTAACTATGCAATTGTTGGTTTCACAGATGGACAAATGATTGAAATTATGCAGAGCCTGGGGGAAGTCTGCCTCTAGATTGAACCACATTGAATGTTTATGCGCAGTAGAGTATTATGGCTACTGAGGGTGATGTTCCCATCGTATCTCAGGCTGGAAAATATACCAAAGTAGTTTCACACAGAGAACATTCCAGAAATAGTTTCTGGCGAAGAGACATATTACAGTTTGTGTTCTCTGAAAATTTTGAAATGGGCGTTGACCAACAGCACTTCAGGCTCATGGAAGTATTTCAGAAAAATGGAAGGATGAAAGAATTCTAAAAGACCATTCACTTCCAGCTCTCTTCAGACCTAGTGTGACCTCATCTGGAATTCATAAGGCAAAAGAGAAACTCAAGTGCTGAAAATGAGTGTTAGCCTACAACTTCCACCCAAAACCACTAACGGGTAAAGTGGATAATGCAGGCATTAGCTTTGTAATTTTTTAAATAGACTTTTCATTGAATTCAGTCAAGAGCAAGGTGAATTACTTGGATAATTATTTTGCAGTGGAGTCCTGACCAAGAGGAAGAGGAAGCCCTATAATTTCATCTCTCATAAGAATTCCTTGAACTATGTATCTCAACAAAGAAAACATTTTCACATGCATTATAAGTGCATTCCATAATTCAATTCCATTGTGAAAAGTATCAGCACTATTTGATATTGATAAAAATAATTAAACCTTATGAAATGAGAGCCTTGGCTTACAATAGTAAGGTAATGCAATCTGAAACTACTGCAACCACACCATGTGAGCGAAGGAAGATTTTATAGCTGAAGGTCTCTTTCAGGCAATGACATTCACAAATACGTCCTGTATGAATAAGCAACATTATGCAGCTTTTAGTTCTCCTATTTATCTATAATGTTAATAGAGTTGGCATTATGACAACAAAGTAGCATAATGCTCCTGCAGCTATCCCCTGATACTTCAATAACAGCTAGAAACAAATGAGCAATAAGCCAGGAAAGTACAGAACAATAACAGAAATGAAACAAAGTGGTCTTATTGACAATGGTTTTTTGTCTGTTTGTTTGTTTTTAAGATGCTGGAGTGTGACACTGGCAGATAGGCCAGGTTGATTCTAGCAAAAAGTAATCATGCAGTATTTATTCAACCAAAGTTAAAACCAGATACAGATTATGAAAAAGATGGAGGGAGAAGAGCTACAAGTAAAAATCAGCAAGATTTCTGCTTTTAGGAGGCAAGATCCACAGGTCCTGAAAATACACGAGGTCTTTCCAGCCACAAGTATGATGCCGAATGGTTACAAACACCCACAATCATCTTTATATACGAAGACTTAGAGGCTGGGCGCAGTGGCTTATGCCTGTAATCCCAGCACTTTGGGAGACCCAGGTGGGTGGATCACCTGAAGTAAAGAGTTTGAGACCAGCCTGGCCAACATGGTAAAACCCTGTCTCTACTAAAAATACAAAAATTAGCCAGGTATAGTGGTAGACTCTTGTAATCCCAACTACTAGGGAGGCTGGGGCAGGAGAATCCCTTGAACCCAGGGGGCGGAAGTTGCAATGAACTGAGATGGTGCCACTGCACTCCAGCCTGGGCAAAACAGCGAAACTCTGTCTGAAAAAAAAAAAAGACTTAGGAGCACGCTGTCAAATACATTTATGCATACACTGATGCATCAAAAAAGTTGTGAACCAGAGGCATCTCTGATACCACAAACATCCAATGTTCAAACCAGCCTGCCAACTATACCCTGTTGCCTTGGCAACAGGAGGCAAGCCAGGCATGGAGAAATCTTGTTGCCTGAGCAACAGGATCCTTTAAAAAAAAATGTGCATTCAGCTGTGGCTATGGCAAAGGCTGTCAGTAGACAAGATTTCAGTCCTTGGTAATGAGACAAAGAATTTACACTGAGATAACAGTCATTCAACTATTAATTAACAAGTATCTGTAGGTTGGTACCTATGTGCAATACACTGTGCCCTGGAGAATGCAAAAATGAATTAGGCATAGTTTGGCACATGCCTGGCACACAGTCATAAATATCCATTAATTAAATGAATGAAGGTTCTTAAGATGGTCATAAAACAGTGACTAAAGTTTACTAGGACCTGAGTATATGTGATAAAGCAGCTGAAGCCCCTGTGAGCATTATCAAGTTCCACTATACACAGTACTTCATTTATTAGTTGAAATAAAATGCTATGACTTGCTAGATTAAAACCTTCCATGTTTATCTACTATGTCAGCCTATGAAACCCCCATAAAAACTGGTAAAAGTCAATCTCATTCTTAATGCTTTCCTAGCAAATAGTAATGGATATAAAAATATTTTATATCAAATTTGAAAATGATCGAAGTTGGAAATTTCAAAGAAATTGGAGCCTCTTCTTCTCTTGATCTCGCCATTAACTATATTCCTCAAAAAAAGTTTTATCAACTGATGATGGTTTGGATTCCCAGGGTGTCTTCCAGTTCTAATAATATTCTCCAGCCCTGAGACTTCAAAACATCTCTGAGGAGGCAGGGGCTATCCCTCCTAGTTACATTTGCTCATGTTTTATCCATTTGTCTGGCTCATTTGCCCAAAATCATATATTAAGTTATTAGGGAGTTATGTTAGTTCTTCAGGAGGCAATTGGTTTAAATCTGGCTCCTGATATCTGACGAAAGTTAAGAATTTATGCTTAAGTTTCTCTTGGTCCTATTAACCTTTAACCAGGGCCATGTCTGACTTCTACACTTTGGAGGCTGTGCTCAGAACAGGCATGTGCTTCCCTGTGGCTTCTCATTGGGACCAACTGCCTTTTAAAAGACCCAGCAAGGGTCCCCAAGGGGAGAGTTGCCCAGGGTAGGGCCTCCTTGTAATTGTTATACCGTTTTACACATGGCATAGAATAGGCAAAAAAAAAAAAAAAAAAAAAAAACCTACAGGCTTGATTTTCAATTTATTTTTATTCTGCTATACAGCTTTGCTATCTTCTTTTACATTCAAACTTCTTATTTAGTTTCTAAATATTTTACAGGATGGGTTCATATTTCATATTAATAAATGAAGAAACCTTAGAAAATCCTAAACAAATGAGATTGCAAATAACTTTAGCTTTATTTAATGCCCTGTAAAGAATTATAAATACATTTTGGTATTGTCTCTTTTTAATTCAGAGAAGCCCCAGGGATTACCTGGGAGGAAGTCAAAAGTTATTAATTTTCTCTCCTCTTATTTGGCATAAATTAAAGGCTATCTTTTATCATTTATTTTCTTCTGAAGTCTGCCCTTGTCTTCCCATTTTACTTGAGTTCCTTGAGGGAAGAGAGCTTGTTTTAAACAAACCTGTGTTCCCTGGTGGCATGTCACACTGTATTACCACATTTCATGGCACAATTCTGCAAACGTTTTGGGTCAGGTCCTGTTCACCTTGGAACATACTTTCCAAAACATCAGCTTCAATGTATGGGCCACTTTCCATATCCATCTGGTGACTTGGTCATAACCTCAGGTTAAAGTTCATTCTCTATCCTGTTTCAATGATCTTTAGATTAAACTTTGCCTTTCTGCCGATTCTAGCTTACTCGATTTGTTCTAAAGTATTTAGTTAATGACTAACTTTTTAAAAACCGTCTCAAGCTTTAAAAAATATAGAACATATGGGATTTTTGTTTGTTTTGAAGAGGTAGACATCAACAAAATTTGTGCAAATTAGACAATTTTCCAAGGATCCTTTCAAAAAAAGAGTAGAATTATTTTTGACAAGACCAAGATCCATAAATTCATCTGATTAGAAATTATTATTTTAATGTAAAATTCACTTAAGTGGGGAGTTCACCATATATCATAATTTACTTTTGAACTAAAATACTTGCTTTGATAGTGATGGGAAGTAAGTAAGTGGAGAAATGTTGAGTAGCAGCAAACTCTAAAGCCCCTTTGGCGGATATTCTAACTCAGATCTCCAGTCCCCACAAACACCCACTGTGGTTCTCTTTGGCATTTTAGACTACTTTCCTTTCCCATGCCCTCCCTATTACTTCGGACCATGACTGCTATGCACTTTGGCCCACTAAAGAAAGCCATGAGGTCTTACAGGCTTTTCTCAAATACCTTTCGGATAGATCATATGCCCTGATTGATAGGTTCTCCTTGGGTTTTTATTCCAGAAACACTGGAAAAAAGGAAATTAAAAGGCACCTTAACTCCTCCTGACCTTAATTTGAAGACGATAACGTATCAGTGATACTATCTTCGACTAAACAAAAAAATGATTTTTCTATAGGAACCTTTCTTTGTCACCTAACTGAATCTCTCAGGAATTTGCTGAGCAGGTTCTTCATTCTGAGCTTCATTTACATTATGCAATTCCCAGCACCCTCAAACCCAGAGGTAGATCCAGGTGGTTCCATTGAGGCTGCCCAGCACTAACATCTGCTGCCTTCAGCAAGGACCTCTGATAGATGAGTGGATCAGTCAAGGATCTCAGCTCTCCTCAAGGCAGTAAACAGAGACCTGATCCAAGCCAGGTCAATCTGGCTCTCTCAGGATTTTGAATCCTAAGAAAGGTGACACAAGAATGGAATAAACAAGCTGGGAGTTCATTTATCCCATTATAAGCCTCCCAAAAATGTCTCCTTTATAGACTTCAGGGACTGAACTGGCTCCTATGCCTTCCCAAGCTTGATCCTTCGGGGTCTAAATTACACAAGCCCCACAAAGCCTTCTAAAGAGCCTCCTGTCACGTAGGTAGCTAGAATCACGCTCTTTTGCTTGTATCCAAAAAACCCTGCCTAGTACAGCACATGCAGCCTCAGCCTTTTGTCACACAGATGCAGCCACTTCCTGAGTGGGGGTCATCCCACAGCTCTGAAGCCCCTGCCTGGCATCACCACTTACATGTGGCCCAACCTCAACAGGTGTCCCAGCGTCAGAGTAGTCTGGCAGTCCTTCTGCCATTCTCTGCTTAGTTTTCATCTCAACATTGGCTGCTCCTGGCTGAATATACTCCTCAAATCTAGACAGTCCTCTCAACTGTGGCCTAGGACATCAACTAATATACAGAAACCGGCCGGGCACAGTGGCGCATGACTGTAATCCCAGCACTTTGGGAGGCTGAGGCGGGCAGATCATGTGAGGTCAGGAGTTTGAGAGGAGTCTGGTCAACACGGTGAAACCCTGTCTCTCCTAAAAATACAAAAATTACTCGGGCATGGTGGCAGGCACCTGCAATCTCAGCTACTCATGAGGCTGGGGCAGGAGAATTGCTTGAACCTGGAAGGCAGTGGTGCAGTGAGCAGAGATCGCGCCATTGCACTCCAGCCTGGGCGACAGAGCGACATTTCGTCTCAATAATAATAATATACAGAAATTGTAAAGTATATCCTTCCTTAATCTCCCTTTCTCTATTTCTCTAGCTTAATTTTATCTTCACCTCCCTTTCCCCAGACAAAAAGATGCCACTAATCTTTTCCAGGTCCACTCCTCCAACTCTGATCTACACTGCAACTGTGCACTGTCAGTTACCTCTTTTCCTCTCTAATCTCTCCTCCCCATTGGTCTCTTCTCCTTCCTCAGTCCCAAGTGCCCTGAGTTCAGCCTTATTCTAGGAGGTCCTTTTCTGTCAAGCAGTCCACACCAGCTAACTCTCCAAGCTCATTTCTCAACTTTTTAAATGCCTCCCATCCCTGCCTCTGGAACATTGCAATCAAGTTTCTGCTCCGTCTAATCTCATGTGGTGCCAGTGAAGGGGCTCTCCTGAAGGTCAGGAGGACGTGCAGAAGGTTCAATCTAATAGTTTTGTTGCAGTCCTTACTCTAAGAGACAACTGTCACTGACACAGCTAGCCATCCCAAAATAACAATTTTGCTTTGCTTTTAACAGACAATCTCTCAAACACATTCCATCCTCCCTTGCAGTTAGCTGTGGTTACATGAGGAAGTTATGGCCAATGGCATGTGAGCAGAAGTTATGAGCATAACATCTGGCTCATAGCCTTAAAAGGAAGGGGTATGCCTCTATTTTCCCTTTCTTCTTCTTGCTGGCTTGGATATAGGATGTGGTCTCACAAGCCATATTGGCCAAGAATATGAAATCTATACCCTGGGGGTGTGGAAGAACGAGATGGAAGACCAGGGCTCCAGATGACCTCATGGAGCACAACTGCCCTACTCTGCTGACCCACTCTTGGGCTCAGAGAGGCTAACTGACTTGCTCAAGGTCAAAAAGCTAGAAAAACTCAGAGTTAGACTAAGACCAAGGTCTAAGATCAGTACATTTTTCAGTATGCTACTTGCGCAAGTAAGCTCTAACTTCTATTTCCACAGGGGTAACTTCTGGCTATCAGGTTTCAATTCAGCCATCAATAACTGAGCTCTGCAAAATGAAAAAATATTTCTAGGAGCTCAATTGGTACCTACCTTGTTTGGGATTGTCTTTCTCCTCCTGAAGCACTAAAACTTCTCTTTAAAATGCCTGAAACAAGAAAATAAAAATAACTTTACATTATTTCCTCTGCAAATCTTTTATTTTTCAATAAAACAATACTGAACAACAAATGCTAGTGAAGATACAGAGAATAGGGGACTCATACACTGTTGGTGGGACTGTAAACTAGTGTGGCCATTATGGAAAACAGTATGAAAGTTCTCTTCAAAAAACTAAAAATAGAACTTTCATATGATCCAGCAACCCCAATGCTGGTATATATCCAAAAGAAAGAAAGTTAGTGTATCAAAAAGATATATTCACTCTCGTGTTTATTACAGCACTGCTTACTTTAGCCAAGATACAGAATCAAACTAAGTACGGATCAGCAGAAGAATGGATAAAGAAAACGTGTCATATATACACAATGGAGTGTTTTCCAGCCATAAAAAAGAATAAAATCTAACTATTTGCAGCAACATGAATGGAAAATGTTAAGTGAAATAAGCCAAGCACAGAAAGACAAATATCTAATATTCTCACTCATATGTGGGAGCTAAAAAAGTTGACCTCATGGAGATAGAGAGTAGACCAATGGTTACCAGAGGCTGGGAAGGGAATGGTGAAGAGAAGCTGGGTTAATGAGTACAAATAAAAAATCAGATAAAAGGAATGAGTTCTAGTGTTCAATAGCATATTAGGATGACTAGAGTAAACAATAATTTATTGAATATTTAAAAATAGCTATAAGAAGAGATTTGAGATGTTTCTAACACAAAGATAAATATTTGAGATGATTGATATCTGAATTACCCTGATTTGATGATTACACATTGTATGCATGTATCAAAATATCACATGCATCCATAAATATGTATAAATTTTTAAATAATTTTTTTAAAAATTCAAAATAATAAAGAATATATATATTCCATGAATGGCTTTGTCTATAAACACTCTCATATTGCTCTAAGGTCACACATTTCTCTGTAAAGGGCAGGCAGGAAATATTCTAGGCTTTGTGTGCCACACTATGTCTGTCACACCTGAATTCTGCTGCTCTTGTAGCATGAAAGCAGTCAAACAACCTTCAAGAAACAAACATGGCTTTACTCAGAGCCAACAACAACAAAAACAAAGAAAGACGCTGAATTTCTGTTACCTGAGCAATTGTACACGTGGTAAAAATTGTCTTTGATTATGAAAGCATGAGCTAAAATACGTTACAAATTGTTATTTATTTGTCGTTTGTTTAAAAAGCAAATGTGCTCAACAAACAAAAACAACCCTGTTATTAATATCCAACAAAACACAATAAAATGTCATGCAATGAAATGTCATAACCAGACTTGCCAAATTACCACATGCAAATTTAAGGGCCAAGCATCTCTTTCTTGCCTCCCCACTAACCCTCCCACCATTGCTGTCAGGTATATAGAACACTGAACTTAGTAATGAACTTCTTCTGGAGTTGTTATATATGTTTACATGCATAAATATTTTTTCCTGTGTGATCTTCATGTTTTCCTAATCACAAATTAACACACCTAGAAGGCAGGGATTTACAGAGAAAATAGGACAGAATATTGAAAATTGGGGTTGTCCCAGAAAATCTGGAACATCTAGTCATCATTTTGATGGACCAATTAAGTTTGGAAAGGACAAAGAACGTAGTTAAATCCTTAGGGTTCTACTTTGATCCTTAGAGAGGCTATTTTAAATGTTCTTTTATGAGATTTTCATAGTATAGTCACTGAGGAGAGAGAATTATTTTCACCTAATTTATTTCAGAATATTTCTATCTACAGTTTTTAATATTTTACCAACTTACTCTTTTTTTAAAAAAGTTCTCATTTTCTATTTTAACTTCTCTTTAAGCTTCAGGTTTGTTGAGTGTATTTGATTCTATCTCTCTTTACAATCTTTAAATTTTATCTAAATATACCTTTTCCTTTTCTTTCCCATATCCCAGTATTTTTTAATTGTTTTAAATGTAACATATCTCTTTAGATTAACGTAAATAAAATTGTACAGAAATTAGTCTATACCAAGATTAATTTCTTCTATAGGCTTTGAATTCATCTAACCAGCAGGTTCATAAAAGGCCATGTCCATTACTCCTGTGGTTATTTGGTTGTCTCCAAGTTAGAGATCTTGACTCTCTAGCTAGAACCTACATTTGCTGGTAGAAATAATAAAACTATTCATTTGACAGCTGAGAAAATATAAAACCAACGTGCTGGCTAACCTTTGGGCTCTGTCAGAGAGACAGACACATCTGTCCTAATTAGCATTGCACCTGAAAAGCTGGGTTATGTATATGGTGATATTTGCTTAACTCAAGTATGATTTCCAAACCACTGTCTTCCGGAATCCCACAAATGGCAAACTGATAAAAGAAAGCTTACTGAATGTAGACTCTTTCAGAGGGCTTGAACTGGAGCTGCTGGAGTTATCCGAAATGTCCAATTCATCATCTAGCTCTGAATATATATCTGCACATTAATAAAAACAATAAAAAAGCAAATGAGTCTTGAAACGGGAAAGAGTCCAGAATGCATTCATGCTGACGCACTTCCACTAGAAGTACCTTTCTCAGTATTTTCCAGGTTGAAGTTATCATCTGACAGGATTTCATCACAGGCCCTGTCTTCGTCTTTACCATAGGAGGCCTGGAAGCCTTCAGGGACCAGATCTGCACTTTCTGAAAGTTCACTTTTCAGGCTGGCTGCCCCACTGCTGCTGCTACTCAAGCTTGCCTTTCCAAAAGTGTCCTGGAAAGAGAAATTCAGGTTTTCATAGCCTTTCTCCATCCTACCTTCTACAGGACCTAAAGCTTGTTAGAACATATATCAAATGCTTCAGATATCAATATAAATGTTTTATGCAGAAGTAGCAACAGTAGTTCCACCTATGTACCTGTTATGTAATCTATTCAGTCTATAAATACAAAAAGATGCAGGTCTACGAGCTACATTGGGTGAAAACGGATGGAGGGGGCAAGAGTGCTCAGTAGAAAAGGCCCGTACAACCCAGCGGAAAAAACCTGTACTTCTAAGAAACAGACCATATCAATTTAGGAGAAATTTCTCTCCTTTAAGTTTCTCCAAAAATAGTTGCTATCCATAGTGAATATGTAAGACTTATTCTCTTCAAAACTCCCGGAAAATTAGTAGCAAACAAAGCCAGGCCATGGAGAGTAAGAGGCAAGATCTTCTAAAAGAAGAGCTACAGAGAACAGAACTTACAAACCACTCAGGACTCTACACCACTGCCTGGCTTGAACACTCTCTGCAGAACTAGCCACGGGGTCCTCCAGAATCCTCCAAAATGGATGGATGCATTTCCATTATAATAGCACTACAAAGTCATCAATCTGATTCTGTCATGCCACATTTTCCTAAATAGTAGTCTTAGAAACGAAAAAGTTATGTCTGAAGGGTTAATAAAAATAAATTAATTAATGCCAATAATGCTGGGAGCTTTCATTTTCCTTTTTCTTTCTTTCTTTTTTTTTTTTTTTTTTTTTTGAGATGGGGTTTCACTTTTGTTGCCCAGGCTGGAGTGCAATGGCACGATCTCAGCTCACCACAACTTCTGCCTCCTTGGTTTAAGGGATTCTCCTGCCTCAGCTCCTGAGTAATGGGGATTACAGGGATGCGCAACCACACCTGGCTAATTTTATATTTTTAGTAGAGACAGGGTTTCTCCATGTTGGTCAGGCTGGTCTCAAACTCCCGACCTCAGGTGATCCACTCAACTTGGCCTCCCAAAGTGCTGGGATTACAGGCGTGAGCCATCCCACCCAGCCAGTTTTCATTTTTCTAAGGGGGAAAAGACAGTGTAGAAGGAATGACTATGAATCAGTGAAAAAAGTACCACTTGTTTCTTTATCCAAGCAATTCTCAAAACCTCGGATGTTCATTCTGTGGCACCATTTGCAGCAAGTGTGAAGAGCCTTCTTCCACTGTGGGGCTAAACAGTGCTGACAAAGCAAAGCTACAGATTAGGTAGACAAAACGACAAAGAAAGGCCATGAGGGAGGACAGGGTGACAGGTGGAGAATGTAAGAAGAAAGAAAAAGGTGCATTTACTGAAGGGGAAAGAATTCCCTCTATGAATTGTGTCCAAGATGATTTAGTCACAAATTACCCAGCACTTCTTGACTAAAAAGCTCCGATGATGCCCATTTGATAGACAGACTTACTTATTTCAGATTTATGTGTTTTTTTTAATTTTACAGCTTCAATGCACAAGTGTGTAAAAACTCCAAAATAATAGAATTTGCAGATGAAGAAAATCTAAGACCTTATGGTTAACTAGAGTCAGAGGTAAACCTCTGCAAGCTTTCATATGTTTATGTTCTGTAAGTAAGATGAGAAGATTTAAAAATATAAAACACATTTGTGCATTGCAAACTGTCTGATCAATTGCTGTTTATTCTTTCTTTTCCCTGAGATTCTTTTCAGTGATTCTTCAAAATTTCATCAAGCTTCTTTCTTTGTTGAAGCTAATTTGCAGGTGAAGGAGTATTTTAACTTTGATTTTTCCATAATTAGTACATTCAATATTCAAAGGCTGTTTTATGACTCTTGAGTTGTTAATTTCTGCTTCTGAGGTTCACCCTCGTTGGCTAATTTACAACCTGAGATGGGAAATGCTTCAGCCACTCTCTGGCAACAGATATGTGCTCCTCAGAAATTTTTCCACTGCCTAAGGCTACTATGCGGCTTCTAAGGCCAGCCTCAGCTCTGCCCACACCCAACCCCTGATACCAAATCCAGGAACTGCTTCTAAGGCCCAAAACTTTGTTGCAAAACCAACTCAACTTCTATGCCTACCTCCTTTCTCTATCCCAAACCACAGAGCCCTTCTTCTAACTGTCCTCAACTGAAATCATTAGATATTTACATAGAAATGAAAACCCAATTCAGGGCCTTTTCCTTCTCATGAACTTTTTATTCTAAGTAAATCATCTTCTACCCTGTCCTAAAGACCATAACTGGTATCTGCAACCTTTTAAGGACTTTATACCCAAGATGTGTCAATGTTATCAAGGTTAAAAAAAAATGAAGGAGAATTTTTGAATTGAGAAAACTTTTTATTCTGTTGTTGCAATTAAGATGCTGGAATTCGAATATCTCTAAAACTGGCAAAACTTTAGCAAAGGCTTTGTTTTTCTTAAGAACAGGCATGGATAAAACATCAGAGAAAAACATTTTTCTTTGAACAAATGAAGAGCTGGGAGAAGCTGGAGTTCCCACTGAAAAAGGCATTTCGAGATTTAAGGAGGCTGGACTTGCAACCAAAACCCAAGAACCAGTTGGGTCATAAATCAATAGTCACTTGTAACTGCCAAAAATTCATCCACGGGTAATTGTTTGCATAAATTCTCATAAAGGGGAATTTACAATCAGAGAGAGGTGCTTTTTCAGACTCTATATGCATAGAAAATATGATAATATAGAAAGGGTACTTTGTATTGGTTTAAAATTTATCTTTTTATAGCAATCTCTTACAGCAGTTTTTCCTTCAAAAATGTTGCTCTAATTTTTGAGCTTGCCATAAATCACATGCCACACATTTTCCCTACTGTGATTTCTGGAGTTTTTCACTGTGAGTATTTGAGTAGCCACCTCTTTATAAAACTGTTCCTTGAAGAACTGGGGGCACTTTAGTTCCTTTTAAATCCTTCAGTGCTTTGCACAATGCCTTACACATAACAAAGGCTCAATAAATAGTTGAGCCATTAAGTTGTTCTCAGAAGACACATTCAGCAAGTACATTAACCTATTAAAGGGATTTAGGGGGAAAAAAAGATAAAGCTTTTGGGGACAGAATTTGGCTGCTATCATCTTTTTTACTTTCCAATTACTAAGATTTTTTCAAGGAGTAGGAGAGGGAGTTAACTAGATTTTTTTTTGGCATCTGCATGCATCTATCCTAGGAACGGACAGACACATTCTGGATATCAATATGGCAGCAAGGAGAATACAATGCAAATCAGACAATAAAATTATCACTGATATGGAAATCACTACCATTATAGGAGACGCTTCCTGTCACCACACTCGTATAGGCACGATTATGTTTAGCTCGGTTTTGCACATAATAATGTAATATTTTTATGTGTGCAGCAGATCATAATACATTTTCAGTTGAATAGCAATTCCAGCAGTAACAGACTGACATTACCCAAATTAACTGCTACAGTAAGAAAAGAATTAAGAGCATCTATTTTATTAAACCAGTGCAATTTCTAAAATTGCCAGAATGTTAGTTTTATAAGGAGAGAAGGAAAATCAAGAAATAAATAAATATAAAGCATAACACCAGCTATATCCTATAGATGTTTTACTTTGGAATTCTAAAAAACGCACTATTTCTTTGTGTTCTGAAATACTCATATTCTATTAGGTATATTTTTTCCCAGTTTCTTCCATTTGTTTTGTTAATAAACTGTTCCCTTAAATATATCAATTTAGTGCTATGACGTGCTTGAAATTCATCCAGCTGAGGTGATCTTTTATCAGTGGCAAACCGCATTCTATGTTTTTCATGGATGATTGCACAAAGAAAATTCAAAATAAGAGACAGGTCATCATTGACTGCATACTATTAGTCCCTAAAAACTTAGTTCCTGAATTTTAAGGTGTATCTTTAAAAATCAGCCAGTGTGGTCAGATGATTAAGGGCCCTTGTGGACTAGACCATAGTTAAGTGAACTGCTCACTTTAGTGGTGAGATAGGATATGGAAGACTTGGCTTTGCCACATCAGGGAAGTGGGCTGATGAAATAAGCCTGGAGCCTGGTCCCTACCCTCAACCCAGTGGTAGATGGAAATTTCAGTCTTTTATCCTGAAAGTTAGTTTTTGTTTGTTTCTTTAGAGACAGGGTCTCACTCTGTTGCCCAGGCTGGTCTCAAACTCCTGGGCTTGAGAAATCATCCTGCCTTGGTCTTCTGAGTAGCTGGGACTAAAGAGGAACACCACTGTGTCCAGGTCTCCCAAAATGATTTGGATGATAATATCGTCTATTTTCGTCAGGGAATCCTGAAGAATTTCCCTTCTCTCATTCACCACGTATAGTTAAGAGAGCAATAAATAAATTTAAACCAGAAAAACTGATGTTTTGGGACCTTAAAAACAAGTAATTTACATGGATTATATAATAAAGAAAAACATTCTCTTTAGGTTGGATCTTACTTATTTTGAACTTCTTAACAAAAATATTTATACAAAGCTAAAAATTTTACTGTCATGATATAGTTATGATATTATTATTATACTACCTAATTAGAACTTTTTAAAAGCACTATATTAACGAACTGTGATTAAATTAAATAAATTAGGAAATAAATTGGTCATTATAATTCAATCTAAAAATCCAGTATCAAATTTAGTATGGTTGAAAATGTTTCACTGTTATCCCATAACTAAAGTACTACTGTATCAGAAATGAATGGATTTTCTATCACTTTTAACTCAAATACAGGTTTTCTAGAAGGAATAACACCAATAAAGAGGAAAAGAAAAACAATGTCATAATCTGAAATTAGCATTGTTAAGAATACAGATGTGGTCCATCACACAACTGACCACCATGTTTTCCAAGACTGCAGACTAACATGCCAATAGTACTAAATGTATATACTAATATATTCAAAAGCATTTCAAATAAGGCCAGAATTAGGTCATTCTATTCAACATTTAAAAGAAACAATGGGGCTGGGCATGGTGGTTCACACCTGTAATCCTAGCACTTCAGGAGGTT